AATCATTTATGAAGAAAGGACTTCTTGCAGTTGCACATCATAGGAGAGACTCAAGTATTTTGTACTGATTACCTAGTTACCTTTTATGAAATTATCCATTTTTTGATAACCTTATGGATTCTCCATGTTTGAGACTTTGTGAACTTTCTGATAAATGATTAGATATTCTTTCTCTTTTCAGGTTGGTTTTGACATGACAAGAACAGCAGCCCAAAAGGTTTTTAGTATTGCAGGAGAATCACCAGCAAATGTTGATGTGGTTGAACTTCATGATTGCTTCTCTGCCAATGAACTTATTACTTATGAAGCTCTTGGTAAGTTTAGATCTCTTCTCAAGTATTTGCCTTTTAGTTTTTATTACTCGTACTAGACAGTCCTTCAACTTGTCTGTTCTGTGTGAGTGGGTTGTTTTGTCTCCTATTCTGTTTTGTCATTATTTTCTTTGTTGTTGATCTTAATCTGCAAGTTTTTCTTGAAGTATGGGAATGAATAAGAAAATGACTTCATATAGCTGAGGACAAACACTTTAGATAATTGATAGTAACAATATAAATTACATTCTGTTCTTGAATATTCTTTTGCTTATACTCTTCCATATTTTGTGATATTACAAATATGAATATTTTGCCACATATGATAATGATTGCTACATCAATATCTTTTATCATAATATTAAATAGAATATAATTGACACTTTCAAAGGCTTGTGTGGGGAAGGTGAGGCTGGAAAGATGATTGATGCTGGTGACAACACATATGGTGGAAAGTACGTCATTAATCCATCTGGTGGACTTATCTCAAAGGGCCACCCTCTAGGTGCCACAGGTAAGTATTTTGTGAACCATATTTGCTTTGGTTTGGAAGTCTAGCATGTATAGTATAGTAAAAGAAAAACCTCATTAGTGTTAGATGTTATGAGAAGGTGCTTATATGTCTCTACACTAGATGGCTCTGCCTTACCTGATTTCACCTTTACTTGAATTCGCGGGAAAATGTATTTTTACTAGTGCTATGAATATCGATGGTTATTTTTATTATAAACATTTTAATTACTATAATGTTATAAACATTAGTAACAGCAAAATGATATAATGTAAAATATTTTCGTAAATTGAAGAAAAGGGTAAACGGGCGAGACAGGCAGTACAAGTACAAGTGTCGCCATATATGTGTAAAAACAATTAAACAAGTAAACTCACAGTGGGCCTGTCACGTATATGTGACACCCGGCGTGAAGGGGTTAAAAATTGTTGGATTTGTATTTAGTTATTCTCTATGAAAATTGCCAGCTCTCCAGTCTGGATTAAGTACAGATAATTTATAAACAAAGACATGAGTCAATTTCCTGATAGTGTACTATGTAAAACTATTAAAAACAAAACTTTAGATCATCACAGGAAACAAATCCATTAAATATATTAGTTGTTGAAAATATAAATGATAGCATTTGTTATATTGTTAGCTCCAGTTAAAGATATAAAGTAATATCAGGATGACAAAATTTAGCTTATTTGAAAAAAAAATGGAATATGGAAGTCAGTTTCTGTGAATGAGTGTCCATAAATTGGCAGTCTTCTGTAATGGCAAATAGTAACAAGGAACTTGGCTGAACACTTGTTTAGAAGACTGCCCTGTTTTCCAAGATACAGTTGCACAGAGCCTACTGTGGTACTGAGAGTTAGTATACTATCTCAAAAAACAAATTTGGTAAATGCTAGATCATAGATCATATGGAGGCTTGTAATGACATAAGGCCCCAGAGGATTTTGTAGCAACATAAGGTCTGAATGGTACAGTTCTTTGGTGGACATCCCTTGTTTCCATACCAGCTTATGCATTGCAGGACCAGGGATTGGCTTTAGGAAGTCTCTTTCAGTTTGACTGACTTACTAGCTATGCATCATATTGGGGAGGGTCAAATTTTTTCTCACTTCATGAACTATTTGGGTTCTGGGTGAAAGCGTTCAATTAGCTACAGGCTGGAAACATGGGAAACCTGCCATAATTGGAAAGCCCTTTTGTGACTGCCACTTTCTGTTGGGGCATTGCCAAGGGTGGTGGCAGTAGTGGCAGTGAGGGTAGTTCCATCTTTTACTAGTTAGGTCACAGTAATGGACACCACCTCCAACCATCTTGAGTATGAATGATAATGAATATCTTCACAATACTAGAGATGTATTTAACCCAATGCCAATGGGCATGACGTGTACATACATGCTATGCCCACCGTGAGTTACTTGTTTGATAGTTTTTACACTTGTACTAAGTCCCCAATGAGCCAGTTATGAGTACTGCCTGTCTCTCCCGTTTACCCTTTCTTTGATTTATGAAAATATTTTATGTTATCTTATTTTGCTGTTACTTGTGGCTAAGCACTAGTAGAGCCATCTATGTACAGAGACATTTCACAAAAAATATAGAAAATGAGTACAGCATTTTCCATGGTGGCATTGAGTTAACTGGTTTTGAATATATCTCTCATCAGATATACATGTATTGT